CATATCTTTATTATTATTATTGTCAGTTGTAAGGCTTAAACTCAGGGCCTGGGTGCTATCCCTGAGCCTCTGTTGTGTTCAAGGCTAGCGCTCTACCACTAGAGCCATGGGACCACTTCTAGTTTCACAGGGATTTTCTTGCCTCAACTGGCTTTGAACCACAATCCTCAGATCTCAGCCTTCTGAGTAGCTAGGACTATAAACATGACACACTGGTACCCAGCTGAGAAAGAAGGAAAGGGGCAGAGAAAGAAAAAGAGAAAAAAAGAAGAGGCAAACTGGTCATTATGTGAGGAATTCTTTCCTGCCACTATTCTACAGAAGAGAGCCCTCAGGACCCTACTTATGAAATGTAGGTTACATCCTTTTCTCATGTTTGTGTCTTAATGTTAACACTGAGCTACTATACTCAGCTAAGATAGAGTTCAGTGGGTTTCCTCAAGGGCTAGAACCATGTTTAAACTCTTTCTTTATCCTCATAACAGTACCTGCTATGGATACTGATAGAGAGTAAAGAATATTGAGCAACCAAATGGCTAACTACAAGCACAGAAAAGAGAGAGCCACCATTGCCAAGGCTGTCACTATGGTAAACAGAAGAAATAGGAAATGCCATTGGACAGAGAGGGGAAACATAGGTCCCATGGTTTCCCTTATTTGCAATAACTAGTACATGTGAAGGACAAGCAGAAGAGGGCAAAAGCTATGTACATATGACCATATAAGATGATGTTAAGCGAAATGAACCCTAAGATAGGGACACAAATATCTTTTTTTCTTTCTTGCTATTGTTTCTAACGTATTTATAATGTACCATGTGATATCTTTGTTTCTTTGTATGTTCCTCCCTGATATCAGTGCCCTGCATTTTGTATATACACTTCTCCAGCTTGGGGAGGGGAAGGGAAAAAATAAAATGCTTAAATGGATTGACCCATTGTAACAATGAGATATACAAAACACTATGTTGAAAATGAACTTTACAACCTCAGTGTGTGTGTGTGTGGGGGGGGGGGGAGTTGTGGAGGTGGGAGGGAAGGGATGGTAGGGGGAAAACAAAGGAGGAGGCAACAAAGCTCAATAGGAAATGTACTCATTACCTTGCTCATGTAACTGTAACCCCTCTGTACAAAATTTTTACAGTAAAAAAACGTACAAAAAAGAAATAGGAAATGCCATTGGACAGAGGGGTCAAACTCATCCTATCGTAAGAGTTCTTTCCTGTAATAATAGCAATTATACATAAAGAGGAAATTATGTTCATCTTAGGTAATTTCCAAGGTAGTAGAGGTCATATAGAATAATATTCTTCTTTTTACTTCCTCTTTTATAGCCACTTATTTTGACATCTCAATTTCTCAGACTACAATTATCACCAGGAAGCTGGCAGCATGAGCTTTAGAGTAACACCTAAAGTAGGTGTAAAGCTTAAACATTATAAGAAGACTAATCCAGGCAGTCTGATTTATTTATTTTTCCTAAATTCTTTTTTTTCCTTGCCTATCCTGAGGCTTAAACTGTGGGCATGGGTACTGTCCCTGAGCTTCTTTTGCACAAGGTGAGTGCTCTATTTCTTGAGCCACAGCACCACTTCTGGCTTTTTTTGAGTAGTATATTGGAGAAAAAGAGTCTCATGGACTTTCCTGCATAGGCTAGTTTTGAACCATGATCCTCAGATCTCAGCCTTCTGAGTAGCTAGGCATGAGCCACTGGCACCTGGCACTTTTGCTAATTCTAAGGGATTAAAATTTTTGCCTCAAAGATAAGTCCCAGGTTGTGTGTGTGTGTGTATATCTGCATATATGTCTATGCATGTGCCTGTGTGTGTCTGTGTATGACGCATGTATGTGTGTTTGTGTGTGTATATGAGCACATGTTGGTCTCTACACATTTATCAACCTCACCTTCTAGTATAATGAAAATTACAAATATTCATGTTGGTGACTTCTTTACTCTGTAAGTAGTTTCATGCCAAATAAGCACGCATAAGGAGTGTTTTTTTTTCTTTACATCAGCATAGATACAATGAGAGTAAGCAGTTTATTCCTTTAGGGAATTTGAAAAGTAGACTTTCATGGAACATCATTTTCTGTTGTTACAGGGTAGGTGCGGTTCACTAGTGAATGGTGAAATTCAGCCCCATCACGATGGGCTTAGAAACCAAGCCTGGCATCCTCCCTCGGGAATGTTTCCTGAAAGAGGAGACATGACCTGAGGCCAACACCTTTAAGTCCTAAGATTTAAAATCTCCTTTACATTCAGCCTTCAGATACTTTCAAATTTTAGATCAATCACTCACTTTTCCCTTCCTATTTTTTCCCCCATTATAACTTTGGATTCAAGCTACTGGGCTTCCCAGGCCCATGTTGCCATAGGAGACTCTGTTTGTTGAGGGTGGAGTGGTTGTTTTTGGCAGGTTCAAGGGTGGGGATCAATTAATCCTAATAGGTATATAGTGCAGTAGACACTTGGGACTTTTTGATCTTTTCTCTGTATTTCTGTCTCTTTTATAAATCCTCTTCTCTTCCCTGATGATCCTTGAAGAGAAGGAGAGAAGGAAGGAGCTTCAGGGTGTTATTTGAGGGCCTCACAATAAAAGCTCAGTGGGACCTTGAGCAGATCACCTAGGCTGTGATTGCTTTTTGACTTGTCTTCCCTAGAGTTGTTGAGATGAAAAGCATTCCTGCAGTAAACTCTGCAAAGAAAGCTTATCCAGGATTCTTTACTAAACTTATTCAAAGTGTAGGCTGTTCTTATGAAAAGATATCTAGGATACCTTTAGTAATGCCTTAGGAAGAGCATATTGCTATATATAAGAACATGTTATTTGGGGAGCTCCTTTGGATTTGTATAGATAATAACATGGAAAAGAAAGGAAGGAGGGATGAAGTTTGGCCAGTGAGTCAAGGTTGGAAGGAAAGTAACAGATGTCATGTTGGATGTGTCAAAGGCACTCCCAACATATTTGTAAAAGAGAAAATAAACTCTGGGAAACCTCGGAAGTTGTAGGTGGTCCTCTCAGAGAACCCATAGGTGCGAAGGATGCACTAGTTGTATTTCATCTCTGATCATTTGGCTGCAAGTTTTGACCCAAGCCCTGACTGTATAGTTATTCCAAGTTCTCGAAAGCCAGGGTAAATGGCTCAAGTATTAAAGACATATGCTCATCTTGAAATCTTTTATTCCAGTGAAGCCTGAGTTGAAAACAATTCATTTTGCTTCTTCCTACTAATAGACATTGCTGTACAGCTGGGGGACAGCTGTTGAGTTGAGATCCACCCACAAGTAGCAGCTTTCCAGTGGTTGGCAAACTGGTACACAGCTGGAATGGGATATTCAAATGACTTCAGGACCCCATAGAATAAATCAAACATTGAAGTAATAACTTGGATGCGCTTGTTCTGATGTAACCCAATTGCTAAAAATTATTTAATGGCCGTTTTTGAGTTGAGTGGTCTATCTCATCAAAGCCCAGTGTACTAGGAAATAATCTTTCTCTTTGACATTACAGGAGAGCAGAGAAGAGAAAGTGGATGGAACATATAAACTAGAAAGTAACCTCAGAACTCTACATTCTGGGGTTTGACCCTAAGACCCTTCCTAAGCCTTTGCATTTGGGCATTTGCTCAGAATGGTGATCAGCCAATGTTCTCAAAGACATGGACTGGCTGATAGAACCTCCTGGACAAAATGGGACCATGTCTCTCTTCAGAGATAGCTCTGACTGTGTAAAAGCAATGTATTGAGCCCCTAAGCTAATTTTTGCCGGTTCTGTGGCTTGAACTCACAGCCTAGACACTGTCTCTGAGCTTGTTTTTGCTCAAAGCTAGCACCCTATCGCTTGAGCCACTTCCAGCTTTTTCTGTTTATGTGGTACTGAGGAAACAAACCCACGGCTTCGTGCATGCTAGACAAGCACTCTGCCACTCAACCACATTCCTAGTCCCACGGAACTATTTTTTAACTGCTGCTCTTATCACACATTCGCTTTTGGGGTGAAACAGTTGGTTAGCTCTGGTTTAGTCTGGACCCCTTTTCCACTTTGGTTCCTATTAGCTGGCAGCAATAAGAGGAGTCTTAGTTCTCTCTAGTCTGACCATAGGACTAGCTTCTGTGCATCAAGTGGCTGCATATGTGGGAATATTCCATTTTCAACCCTGCTGTCTTCAATTTTCAGACAGCTGCTCTTTGGATAACCATCAATTGAGTCTTTGTAGCCTCCAAATACTTTTAAATAAAGACTTCACAGGTGGACCCATTGCAACAATGAAATGTACAAGATGCTATGTTGAAAAATGAACTTTACAACTTTGGCAGGGAGGAGGGAGAGAGATGGGAGGGCAGAGATGGTAAGGGGAAACAAAGGAGGAGGCAATAATGCTTGATAAGAAATGTACTCATTACCTTGCTCATGTAATTGTAACCCCTCTGTACGGTATTCTCACAATAAAAAACTTATTAATAATAAAAAAGACTTCAGTGTACCAGGAGAAGGGCTGGAGGTTTTAGCTTAATAGAAGCAATGCAAAGCCAAAGCATATGACAACTAAAACCAAATTCTGTTTCATCTGGCTGTGGGACCTGGAGAGATTTTTATCATCTTTACACATCTAATAACAGAGGAGTTGTAAAACCAATCTTGCCTAGAACTCAGGCTTTTTCTGAAGGTGGTCAGAGTTCTGATGTGTGAGACTGTTTGTAATCTATATAACTGTAAAGACCAGTTACTTCAAGAAAGCAAAATGATTGGTCAAAGAGTTTAACCACCCATCCCAGACCTTAAACTAGGCCAGAACCTGATGTTGCAACATTGGGCAATTCCTGAGACCTAGTTTTCTTACTTCAAGGTCTTTCAGCTTCTTGAGAATGTGTCTTGCCCTTGGGTACGCTCCCATACTGTCTAGAATTCTACAGATTGGATTGGAGGGTGGGGAGGGTGAGTGAGAAAGAAAAAGAGGTCTAGGAAAGCTGCTTAGAGACCTCTGGCTCTGTCTCAACAGCCTTTTCAAGCAGATGGTTGGTGTGACACTATCAACAACCGTGCCTACTGCCACTATGATGGAGGTGACTGCTGCTCTTCCACACTCTCCTCCAAGAAGGTAGGTAAGAGCCCTTAGGACTCAGGGGAAGACAAGGAGATTCCAGGACGCGGTGGTTCTACTTTATGGTGTATGATGAACGAATACTCGAGGTTCTAAACTTGAGGATCATGGTATTTAGTGTATACTTTCAGAAAATAGTGACATTGTGTCTCTTTATTCCAAATATTCACTGGCCATTTAACAGTATTCTCACTGCTGATTCTAATTTGTCAATCCAGTGGCCCAAAGATTTTGCGGCTGGAAGTCTCATACTCACCCCAGGTGACTCTATAGGTCAGAATAATAATGGTATCTTCCTCTTGAGAATTCTGGATCATCAACAAAATGCTTTTGTTTATTATCCATCTTCATAATTAAACAAATAATCTTAGATAGCACCTTATAGGCTATTGTAAGCACATGTTGAATGAATGGCTCCTACAAGCCACCTACAATACTTGGGCCCCTATCCTGAGCAGTAGCCTTTTGCTTGATGTGCTTTATACTCATTATTCTTAGATGATAGTCTGCAAAATTAAGTAGGCTGAAATCTTGTACTGCTATGAGTAAATATCTAAGTACTCCAAAGATGTTTGAAGCTGTTTGACCAACCAACTTGACGAATCAGAAATATGCCGGTGTTCTTTCCTTTCATGTCTCTACATGCCTAATGTGATCATCTCTAAGCAGACTTGAGTACTCTCTTTGTTGCAATTATTTATTAATCACCTACAATATGCAGGGCACTATTCTCAACACATATGTATTAATTTATTTAGTGCAGAACACGTAGGAATTTATCACATGATTATCCAATCTGTGCCTCTTTTGTCTAAAAAAAAAACAAAACAATAAATTCTGAGCAAAGAGCAACAGATCAAGACTTTGGGTAGAAAGTCAGAAACCTAGTTTTTATCTAGCTAGTTTTGATTCTCAGTTGTGAGAGGAATGGGGCAAAGCACCTGTCCCTGCACAGGAAGGCCTGGCCAGTTAGGAGGAAAGCAAACAAGCCCACCTCACCCAATGCAAACCTGTTCATGGATTTCAGTGCCTGGGGCCAATATATACAACAATCAAGATTGTTGCTTTGGCTACTAAGTCACATTTGAATCAAATGTGCACATATGCTTGGAAATTTCCCCAAACAGCCCCATCCATTCTCGAGCCTAGCTGTCCAACCATCACTGAAAATGTATGTGGAACTAGTACTACAAAAATCATATTTGATTGCCAATGCCCAATACTTTTCCATGGTATTAAAACATAGAAACTAAGCCACTTTGATCATATTTCCAAAGTGTCCTGTTCTCTTTGATGGTACTTTTGAGTAGACAAAAAGAGGTGTGTATCTGTTGCTAGCAAGGTAAGCAGGAGCAGACCAACTTTTGCTGAAGTATCTCTGGCATGGAAGAGGGATTACTATGTAGAAGGAGGGTAATCAAGCCAAAATATATCATGCACTCCAGTAAGACAAAATATGATGCTTCTTAGGGCATCAAAGATGATCTCAATGTCTAGAGAACACCTAGGGGTCAAAGTCAGAGAGCTAGCCTGTAGATTCTGAGCTTTAATTGTCATTACTCTAAATGAAGTCACTCAACCTCTGGCCTTTCAAGTAAATATGAAGTACTAGTGTTTATATTTCCTGATGTTTTAAGGAATTTTGTTATATTGAGGACAGCAACAAAAATAATATTAGACATCAGTGGGAATATTAGAAATGGTTCTGACAGAAACTAATTATAGGTGCCTGACAATATATGTAAACCCATCCGTTTATTTTAACCACACAAGCACTGTCTGTTGTCTCTCTCACTTTACATAAGAAAAAAGCCAAGCAAGGAGTGATTATCTTGTCTAAAATGACATGATGTATAAATGAGAGACGCAAGTGTTAATTTCAACTCTATGATATTAACCAACAATTCTCTACTTCTTCCTGGACCAAGTAAGAAAGGCCAACTTGTTGAAAAGGAGGAAACTTGGTACACACATGCACACACACACACACACACACACACACACACACACACACACACACACACAGTGGGTTATTTCAACCTGCCTTTCTTTCCCCTAGGTCATTCCATTTGCTGCTAACTGTGACCAGGATGAATGCACCTGCCGAGACCCCAACGCGGAAGAAAATCAGTAATTGTGGGATCAAGCTCCTCCTTCCTCTACCCTGGAGGCAGCCAGAGAGAGTAAACAAAGGGCAATGAGGAAGAGAGGCCATGTAGTGGAGGCAGATTATAAGATGGCTGGTTTAGAAACAGAGGAGGATGCTGATAGGTGCCAACTAATATATTGAGTAGCCTGAGTAGTGAAGAATTATAAACTAAACTTTCTTTGAATGTCAGTTGGCTAAAAATGGAAGGAGAAATATAATAAACAGCACCCTCCTCCCCCATCTCTATTCTACCCAACCTTATCCTCAACTTTTGCCCTATTCCCCAATTTGCACCCTGTCAACTGCTCAGCCCCACCCAATGTGTAGATCCATATCAAAACATCAGAGGAGAAGTTGCCAGGACACTCTGTTAATACTGGTATCACACTGATTAACATCTTTTAGGGTCTGTCTACTCTAAACTGGCCCTTGCCCTTTCTTTTGTGTAATCTCTTAAATCATAAGGTTAGTTATTAATTCTTTATGAGTATTTAAACATAATTCTATAAATATATTATAATATTATATTTTTTGCTGTTTACTAAGCTAAAAAATTTATCCATTGTTCCACATATGCTGCTGAGAAGTTCATGTCCAAAATTAATGCTGAGGCTTTGAGGACAGAAACACCAGTTTTTCTGCCATCTTTTTATGGAGAGAGACTAGCAGGTTGAGTGGGAAGTGGGAAAAGAGAGGAGAATAAATGGAATTCACAATGCTAGCATGTCAGCTGATCATCTTCTCATAACCGGGAAGCCAAGCCCACTTAACAGGATACGCAGGTTGGAAAAATAATTTAGAGAGACATGGACAATGAGGTGTGATGGAGCAGGAGATCTAGACAATGATTTATAAGTATCTATCACATAAACTTCATATGAAGTTTGCTCCATTTCTCAGAATGTGCAGCTGGCGTTGGTAAGACAGGACTGTCTCTACTTCTATATGGACCTCTTCAAAGTGTGGGTGGCAGGTAGTCAGCCAGTCAAAAAGTTGTTATTAGGGCTCATTCCCTAAATGCCAGGATGATAGGAACTTAAACACTCTTCATATCTAGTGGATGGTCTCCTTCCTTGTTAGAAGTCCAAACCCTGTCCATCACTCACAGCCCTATCACCAACTGTTGATTTTCTGAGATAAAATACTTTGGAAATGAGATGAGATTAAGGTGGGAAGACAGGAAGGAAGGGGTCAAATAAGATCAAAGAAAGAGAGATGAGAGGTCAGGCTGAAATCAAGTTTGAGTTTAAGGGGATGAAGCAAGACAAAGAGACTCGGCCATTGTTCCAAGTCTCCAAAGAGGCCCAAAGTGGCTTCTTTGAGCAATGCAGCAGCTGACATAAATTGTATTGAAACACAACCTATATCATCACATCTGGGCAAACCTATAGCATCAAGTTGGGCAAATTATGGAAACACATGGAACAAGGGTGACACTCTGTGGGGAGAAAGAAGAATTTCAACCATTTAGGATCCATTTTGTTGTCTTTCCTCTTGTTCAGATGAATTACACAGGACATGGCCGTTTTAACCTTGCTTCTGTTCATATGCATCCCATCTTCATTAATTTTTTGGCATGTGGTCAATTTAAGTTTTTTTTCCCTTGAAATAGTTTCTGAGTTAGAGATAGTAAGGAACAATTTCTGTTCAACATCCTGTCTTATCATCATCATAAAAAAGGACATGAGTCATGTGTCTCCCAGTTTCTTCTCTAATAGAGACCAAGAACCAAACTTAGAGCTCAACTTCAGCTTTTCCACATCATCTGCTCTTTGTGCTGACCAGCTATTTGCCTCTTCCCATCAACACTGAAACAATGGCTTTTCAAAAAGGAAATATTATGTGCCACAATAACCTATGACCCCCCAATATCATATATGAAGAAAAATATTGTAGAATGAAAAATCAAAAATATAGACATATATATCCATTCATCTGTAGGCATGTGGTATGAGAGCAACAGTTATTAGGTAAAGAACAGAGTTTGTCCATCTGAAATTCCCTTATTGTCTGTGGCTAACCATAAAGGAAACTATCGCCTAAGTATAATTCACTTCATAAGCTCTGCTTATGTAGCCCTGGGAAGGCAATTAACATTTATTTCTGGGATACTGATAGGCTTTAATATGGAAAAGAACATGGAAAGCTTTAGATTTTCTATTTAAAAAACAAAACACAAAGCACATTGTAAACTTGTTTTCCTGGGGGTAGAGGAGGGGACATCCAAATTCCTGGATGTGTGTCAAGCTCTGTCTTAGAACATCCATCCAGAGACTTGGGCAGAGTTGTACTTATGGTGGATGTGATCCAGCACAGCAAGGATACAGCCTTCACGAGAACTATGGAGCCCATGATGTCCACCAGTATGTGTCTATGCTCAGTCCCTTCCCAAGAGTAATAGTGGACCCCTGTGTTTCTTTCTTCATTTAAAAAATAGTTGCTACTCTGTTGGCAACATGTACAACTCAAAACTGTGCAGTATTTGAAAATCCCCTAGGTTGAGGGCTGCCCATGTGTCTTTCAGTCCTTGTCCCTGGGCCCTAGGGTTCTGAACGATTCTGGTCACTGTTAAAATAAAAGGACCAATAAGCCATGTTATAGAGCCCAAGATAACAACTCACATTTGCTTCAGAGGGTTGTCTGCATTCTGCTACTCTTACCTACCCATAGAGCCATTGAGAACCTGTCCCAGAGGGTCTTTATTTGTTGTTGTTTCAGGGTCACTGCTCTGTTTCTTCTGTTTCCTAGTAATTAGAAGCTCTGGTACAAAGGTTGCCCAGGGAGAGCTGACTAAGCAGGTAGCCTCCAATCAGAAGCACAAGTGAGAAGTCAGAGTGACATGAATGGACAGATCCTGGAAAAAAATAAGTGAATAAAGGAAGTAAAGAGCTCTGCTTGATTCTCTACTTCCCTTTCCTCCATGGTACAGCATTGGACTTGGCACTTCATCTATTCTGCGTGATCACTATTGAGTGTGTCAGTTAGCATCCAACAGGATAGCCTGATTTAAAAAAAACATAGTGAAAGGAGCTGATCTACTGTATTGTAACGTAAGATAGCTACAACCAGTTATTTTGTAAGATTATAAAATGTTCATTAAAAAAAATCAGCACACAAAATGTGAAGGGTGTATGGTGTTTTATTCTTGAGTTTATATCACCTCCTGATTTCCAAATCACCTTCCTTGGGCTCTATGCATATTCAAATCTCAGTTATTTGTTAAGTGGTTGGTTGTCCATTCTTTTCTGTCACTTAAAAACTACTATTTACATGAATAGGATGTGTAAGGGAAATAAATGTGACAATTCACAAGAAACAACACATAGGAAAATGAACTGTGTTCAATGGTAATGTCCAGTGCCTCAGATGTCATTTAAAGAGGAAATAAGCATCACTCTTAGAGGCCAAAGGTAGGTGCATTTTAAGGATGGTTGGTAAAAGATGCACATGACTTGACAAGGGGTTGGGGCAAGAGAAGGCTAGGGAAAAGATGTAAAAGGTAGGAATGAGAAAGATTACCCATTGTGGCCATCAGTGAGGCCTCCATCTAAGCTGGAAGGCAGGCTAACATGTGCTTAGCATATGGTAAACACCATCGTAATTAACCCCAGAAAGATCTGCAAATCATGTGTTCTTACTTCACAGAAGAGAACACCAAGCAATTCCATGGACAAGGAAACTAAGTTAGGTTTGAGTCCAATCTGTGGGACACTAAAATGTAAGGTGCAACAGAAAGATTAAGACTAATCAGGCAGGGAAATGTAAGAGAATACCCAGAATGATGTCCCACAATTTGTAGCCATGATCATCAGTGAGTAAATGGAGGCAGAATGAGTAGACTTTATGGGATGGGTATTTATTTGCTCTTTTTAAAACTTAATTGAGGACTAGACAGATAAAAATTGGTTGGAAATGTCATAGAAAAAAATGTTCTCCAGATACCATTGGCCCATGACTATAATCCTAACTACTCAGAAGGCTGAGATCTGAGGATCATTATTAGAAGCCAGACAGGAAAGTCCTGAAAGACCCTGATCTCCAACTAACCACCAAATTCATATAGTCACAGTAGAGCTGTGGCTCAAGTGGTAGGGCATTAGCCTTGTACAAAAAAAAAGCTCAGGGAAGTGCTCAAGCTATGAGTTCAAGCCCCAGAAGAACCAGCATGCAAACACACACACACACACACACACACACACACACACACACACACATACACATACACGTATTCATCTCCCTGGAGTAAACTTCTACATCTGGGACTAAGATCTCTGGACATGCCAGGCCCTATTTGGCTACTGGCAGTGTTGGATGGATATCTCAGCACACCTAGCAAACACAGGAAGCTTTGAGAAATAAGTAGTTAGATTCATGGAATTGGAACTTGGGAGACAGTTATGTGGTTAGAAATAAACACATTATAGTAAAAAAAGAATACTACCTGCCATCTTCTTTGAAGGTTTGCAAAGTGCTTTCACATGTTTTCTGGTTACCCAAGGGCAAAGCAGAGCAGGAACAGTTCTGACTTTTTTTCCTTATTTTTATAGAAGAAGAAACTTAGAGAGATTATTGGACAAACTAAGTTCACATATCAAAGTTCAAATTGGGATGGGAATCCAAATGTTTTTGCCCCCAAATATAATGTGTTTTCTGCTCCATCATTCTTAGACCCCCCCCCCCCCAGGCCCAAGAGAGAACCCAGCTCCAATGGTAATGAGAAATGTTAACATCTATTTTACCTGTTTCAAGATACCCCTCATTGGTTTCCTTGTCATTTTCTTACTAGTTTCCCTCTCCTACCAGCTCGCCATAGCAAATGGGAAGAAAGTCTTCTTGAGCACCCTTCCAGGACCCTCTCCTCATGCCAGGCCCTGAGGATAAGCAGATGCCCTTGCACATGCCAGTTAGGACAGCTGGACAGAAACTCTGGCAGGGCTGCCTCCTTTTTTAATAGCTTCTCCAGGGAGAGCCCTGGTCAGAGACTTTGGAGCTCTGGTTTCCACTGACTGACAAACTTAAATGATGTGATGAGTCACTCATAGCCTGGGAGATTCACTACTCAGAGATTTAGGCCAAGAAGAGGATGAGGCCCTCAGTCGGGTGGAGGAGTCAATGAGAATGGTTTACATTTAGAAATAGCTTCAGTGTGTCTCTGGAGTCACCTATTTTTGTATCACCCCAAGAATACGACTAATACTGGGCCATTTATGGGTTCCCAATGGTAGACTCAGAAGACAAAAAGGGTAGTAATAGAACCTTCTATATATGTCATAGGTATTTGTCTTGAAGAAACAAAACTGATTTAGATACTAGTCTGCTATGGGTTTGAAAACATATTTTCCAGTCAGCACCTAGGTCAATGCCCTGGGGATCATGTCTAAGGGAGGCTGAAGGCAAGGATTTGCTACATTTAGGTCCTTGCTAGTAATCGGTTTTGTTTGCTTGTTTGTGTTCTAATCCTGCCACTCGAACTTTAGGGTATATTGTTTAGTGTCTATAGTAACTGGTGTGATAATGACAGAGCATGTCTCCAAAGAAGCCTATCAGTCCAATCCAGTTAATGCTTCAGATGTAGATAAATGGAACATTTCTATACATCTGTGTAGTCTCTATGCTGGGAAATATTGCTTATTAACACAAGACTGCTCGGTTTTTTCTCCTCCTGGACTGAGGTACTCTTCTAGGGAATGCAAGGCAAGGATGGCTCAATCTGGGCCTTGAAAGTCAATGTGTAGGTATATGGGTAACTTGAGATCCATGGGCAACTGAATGTTAATCTGCAAGGGTGGAATATCCAAGTGTCCAAGTTGGTAGATTTGAATCTACACCTTATTATTGAGTCTCTCAAACTTACTGCCTAGATATGTGTCTTTGCAGCACCATGTTTCCAGCACAGTTCCTAAACTGCACCAGGGAGACAGTGAGTAAGGAGAGTAGAAGGGACTCCATGAGTGTGAACTAGTCTCTTGAGAGTGTGAAAGTGGAACAGGGGAGGAAGTTGCCCTTCTATGGATTGCAAAAGTGCTCGAGTTCTCAAGTACCCTGGGACTCTGACATTAAAAGGCTTCTGAGCTGCACACCGGCATTAGTTATGTTCTCAGGACAGAGAGAACAGATGGAGACTCTTGAGTAGTTTGGCTGCCAGGAAATGTTCTAGACCACTGATCCAGAGAGAAACAAAATGGATTTGTAGGATAACTGTGGCAAAGCCTGGCACTGAGAAAAAAGGAGGAAAGGATAAAAGGATAAAAGGAAATATTAGACACTAGAAGAAATGTTTATAAGTTCAGCTGGAGTCTTCCTGGAAAATTGCATTACCTATGTAAACTGCTGAAACTTTTCCTCAAAAGATAACTGAAAGTATCTAGTTTATAGAATAGCAATGTCCTACATACATTTTTTATGATGTTCTATACCTGCATTGTGGACACAGGTTGCTGTCTAGCCTTAATAAGACAGGGCAATTGAATCTTGAATTTTACTTAATTCCAATAAGTTAAATGTGACTAGCCACATGTAGCAAATGGCTACTGTATTGGAGAGCATAGTTCTAGCATATTTTTTTCACATACATCATTTAATTTTCTCTTAAAAGATTTTTCTAGGGGCTGGGAAGATGGCTCAGTAGTAGAGTGCTTGCCTTGCGTGCATGCATGAGGCCCTGGGTTCGATTCCTCAGCACCACATAAGCAAAAAAGAAAAAAGCCGGAAGTGGTGCTGTGGCTCAAGTGTTAGAGCGCTAGCCTTGAGCTGAAGAGCTGAGGGACAGCGCCCAGGCCCAGAGTTCAGGCCTCATGACCAGACCCCCCTTTCCCCCCCCAAAAAAAAGATTTTTCTAATGATTTTTAAAATTGTAACTGACATAAAGCACATTTTGTTCACTTAGATATTTCTGGTTAGATTATTGGAGTTTAGTAAAAACAAATGCAATAAATTGCACCTACAAATGAAACAGGCAGAAACCTCAAACCATGAATTAAAAAGAAATATAATCCCATGTAGTTGAAAGGCACAGATGGGTGGATAACAGTTCAAAGTTAGCCCAAGTACAAAGTTCACTAGATTTTATCTGGGAAAAAAAAAGCTGTCTGTGGTAGCAGACACCTGTAATCCCAGCTGCTAAACAGATATAGGAAGTGGCACGGGCACTAGACTATCTAAAACCAAATTAACAAAGTAAATAGAATTAGTACAGTGTGTAGGGCTCAAGTAGAGCCCAAATGGTAGAACACTTGCTAGTAAGTGCAAAGCACCAAGTTCTAAGTCCAGTACTGCAGATTTCTGGGGGCAATAAAATAGTTGGGTCTAAATTGAGAGGAAAGTCTGTCAGAAAGAGCCCATAGTGTGTGCCGTCATGTTAAGCTTTGGCTGGTTCTTTAACAATAATTCAGGTAGTGGTGGCAATACAAAGCCAATACAGATGACTATAGGTTTTAAGTTCATAGTATCAAAATAACTCATTCTCAAGTTGACCATAAGCCTTGGGGATTGAGGTTCACACTAATGTTGAGACCTACTTTGGCCCAGCTGAGGAACATACATGCACATTGCAGATATACACATGTAGTCCACATGAGCTAGGAAAAGGAAGTAGCAGCTGTTTATTGACCAGGAAATTGTCTATTGATCAGGGTTAAAGAGGCTGCCTGCTAGAAGATTGATTGTTGGGTGATCTTGAGCAAAGGTGGGTAATAGCTTGTGATTCAATTTTCTCATCTGTAAAAAGAGAACAACAATAATCCACAGCTCAAAATGGTTATGCAGATGTGTTACAGTGAACATAAAGCATGAATTATGAACAGCCACTCTGTTGTTGTATGTATTCTTTACCGAGGTGAATGGAAGTATCACTGACTTAAGAAATAGAGGATGGGTTATGGTGAGTGGCTGACATGTGAATTGCTGTGTACTTTTGCACTTTGACCTTGGACGTAAGTTATTCTAGGTTGGTACTCTCTCTCTCTCTTCCTGTTTTCTCCATCTTCTCTCTCTTATCTAATTCCTTTCCCTACCTTTCCCTTCCTCTCATATATTTCAATTATAATTAAGTGCTTCATTTAAATCTATATCATGTTCCATGTTCCAGGTTGAGGCTCCA